ATTTACACGCCTCTGCCGCGCAGCAATTGATTTAACACAATCATAAAATATAAACAAACAGTGTTAAATAAAGGAATAAATAAATAATAACTGAGATGGTGCGAGTGCCACTTGGGCGAAAGGGCATAAAACATTTACGCCCATTTGCAGGCGCAGATTATGCAAGCCAACTGGTCAGCTGAGTTGGCATGGGAATGGGCCCATGCTAAATTGTGGCCATAATTCAGGGAATTAAATTTAAATTTGCCAGGCAACAAAGTGTGGCATCGCTCCTCTCCGACTCTCGGCCCTTATTGCCCAGGCGAATAATAGTTCAATTTCTCACGGAATTCATTATTCAGGACTGGACATAGTTGGACCTCCTTCTTCGTCCTTATTTACCATTCTGCAGACCTATTAGGCCGCATACTTGAGCCGGAGACCCTGGCACCGGCTGCCATTGAAATGACTTTTAAAACTTTTTACAGTTGTAATTATTATAAATAAATGAAGCGCAATTTGGTGGGTTCCCAGGAACCCCTGCCACTTCTTGCCTCTGCTTTGTTTATTTCTGTTCAGTTCAGTTCCGTTCCGTTCCGTTCTCTTCAAATGTCCTTGACGTGCACGTGTGTGTTTCTGTGTGTGTGGTTCTGCTTGTGTCTGTTTATTATTAACTCGAATGACGACCCAAAAATTTGCTCATTTCCAGAGCTGTCAGACGGAGACCAGCAACAGAGGGACCGAGAGACAGACAGGCAAGGAGAAAGGAGTGGCCAAATCCTGGCCGACACTCAACTACAAATTGGCCAGCAGGGCAGACATGTGCAGATGTCCTGCGACAGATTCACAGGCAATTATTCAGATGGGCCTCGAAACCAATTTGCTTGCGGCTCGATGATGGCATTAATTTCCAGCCCGTAATTGTATGTTATAATATTTTTTATGCTCCATATTTATGGGCAAACGGGCGCCCGTGAAGCGTTATGAGCAAAACAGATTTTCCACTTTGCATAAATTAAGCAGAATTTAATGGCTGACTTATTTAAATGGCTTCCTGCGACCCGACGCACTGTTTGTTTAATGAAATCGAAAAGTTTGAAATCGCAATCTCTCTGGTGCATTGCTTTGATGACTTTTCATTAAATTATGCTTTCCGCATTCCATTTCCCAGGCTTAGAGAGTGAGTGGCCCACTGCGCGCTAACAGAGTTATAAAAGCAGAATTTTCCATTTTCCATTTCCCGTTTCCTCTGTTTCACTGCTCCTCTATCTTTCGGGTTCACTGCAGTTTCAGTGACAACAAGACTGTGAAGCAGCCCATCGAGGGAATCCGCCAGCCAGAACGAACCCAATACCGAAAATGGCCCAAATTGCATTCCCTGACCTTGACTTGTCTTTGATTTGGCTTTCACTTAGCGCCATGGGAATGTTAATTACTTGACCATAAAACAAGGTGGCAATCTCGATCCCTGTCGCAATCAAACTATTTATGCAATGTGCGTGCCGCATGAGGAATCCATAGCAAAAATGTTGTTCTAACAGATTCCATTCGAACAACAATCGAGCCACATTCTATCGGAAGAGCAAGCAGCTGGCGGGCAAAATCGTGGGGCTGTGGATTGCAGATTGAGGATTGTTGGTTTGGAAGAGTAATGAATAGCTATCTATCCTGTTTTGGGTTAGCTAAGATAAAAGTTCGATTGCTTAGATGGATCCCAATGCACTTGCATAAGTAACAGCATCCACTCCAAGGCGAAATTGCAACTTTTTTGCTCCTCAGTAATGGTAATGGTAATAAGTAACCAAGGTACTATACACACTGAATAACACGCTTTGAACTCGTTTATGCCCGGAGCATAACAACTGGTAGCAGTGGGAGCAAAACATTTATTGTAATTCGAAATCAATCAATAGAGCCCATAAAAAAGTGAGTGGGAAGTCGTGGAGATGAGCCCAAATACCCGCATACCCGCATCTGGGAGCAAACAGCTTGCTCCTCCCTTGACTGTTTAATACTTATTTAATCTAGTTAATGTAGTTAAATCAGCTTAAGCAAATATTCCCAGCAGTATCGGCTGTCGAACACAATGGTCCCGGCCAAGATAAACCGTTCATTTTGGCCTTGGCCAAACGAGAGGAAGGCGGATTCCCATTCTGCCACACAGAAACTAATACAGATAAAAGGGCATTCATTACAAAAGACCAAAGCGGCAAAGTTTTTCATCGGCGACGATGTCAGATTTGCGACATCAGCGCAAGGATCTCAGTACTCAAGATTCTACACCGTGAGAAGGAATCGGGTCCTTCGTGATAATTTGAAAAGTTGTATCGGGAAAGAATATTATGATACCTAGTTTTTTAAATCATAAATGGTAATAGCAAATCGTTTGGCTTTGACACTCCTCTTACTTTTTGATATTCAGCAATTGATTTGAAATGCAATACCCTATTACAGGCAATACTTGATATTATTTGCTGTGCAAAAGCCAGCGACAAAGTGAAGGTTGTGTAGACCTGGGACCACGACCAATGGCCACCGAGTGACCACACAGCCTGGCGTCATTAATATTAAGTAATCGTGAAGGATGCTCTCTGGTGTATAATACGTCCTTGCCCTTACTCTCCGCCCCCGGACCTCAACCTGTCCCTTGGCTTTTCGCCGCCCTCTCAAACAACCTGTGCTCGGAAGTTCGTGAACCCGCTCATTGACCATGAGTTAACCATGAGTGTTGACTGTGGTCGTAAATTCACCGCCTTCCTGCCCTGCTGCCTCCCACGCAGACTTCCACCATCCAAGCAGTTATGAAGAACCGTGGGGACAAAGGGGTGTGGCTAGGCCTCCCAGGCCGCCCACTTTCAATGTCTCACAATGGACAGATTAGTGAAGTGCCAAGAGCAAATGGTCTAGGCCATCGGGAGCAGGAGCTGGAATCGCCCTACAACTGCACAAGGGGGAAATGGTCTGAACGGAAGCCAAATGGGAGCTAAATCGAAATCTGGTGGTCAGCAAAGTGATTTTGTGAGTGGTTAGGCAAGAAATACATTCAACAATTGACAAAGTGATTTAATTATAGCACTGAAATTATTAACATGAGAGGAATATTAATCTCGACATATATATTTATTAAGCGCAAAGCCAAAATTAGAAAGGAAAACAGTATTAGGTTCGTCTGTGTCATTAAATTTATATCATCCAGATGCTTAATTGCTGCAGAAAGGAAGCAACCAAATGACTCCAGCTTTGCACCTTTGATTAGGTCCATTTAAGCTTCAGCTTTCCTCTTTTCTTTTGGTGCGCCAGACAGGTAATCTAAAAGTTTTCCATCTTTTAGCCTTACGACCCTTCTGGGAAATTTAGCCCAACCTGATGGGCTTTTCTTATAAGTGTATGTACGTACGGGGGCCAAACAAAAAATGGGTTAAATTTATGAGCTTAAGATAATGCGGTGCCCGAAAAGAGCATTCACAGTGAATGCTCCGTCGCATGTGGAGGACATTCAACGCAATTTGTGCCGCCTAACCCCGAATCCTGACTTAACCGAAATTCAAATTAAATCAGCTTGGACCTGACCCAAGTTGGGTTCGCATTCCTTGAAGCTTTAATTGCACATTAAGCTTAATTAACAAATTCATGGAGGAGACGTGGCCTCCAGTGGCCCAGGCCATCCAATGGCCCTCATGATGATGTGATGTCTGCCATTTGCAGATGGAAACGCAAGTGGAATGCTAGTGCTGGAAATAGTTTTTACACATTTGATTAAAATGTTGCAAGCCCAAGTTGTGCTACTCGTTTCTCACTTCCAACGCCCGGCAATTGCGGCTATGCAAATTGAGTTTGTGGCAGCTTTGTGTAAATTTAACCGGACACTTGGACACTCTTGGTAAATTAAAGTAACACAAAATCATCCAGAGAGCAGGGAACTGGGGAGGTTTTGGGTTGCAGCGGCATTATCATCTTCATTAAAATTTGGCCCAGAGCGTCTTTTCAATGCCCCCATTAAATAAGATTAAGCAAAAAACAGCATAAGTCCCGGGCTGCAGCGTGCGATCCTTGCCAACAAAAGCCGCCTGCCCTTGGCCCCTTGGCGAGTCAAAGCCGAAAAAGAGGGTGGCCAACGGGGCGTATGAGCGTTAAATAAGTGTGTGCAAAGTATCTGCGGCCAAGCTGCGCTCATTAAGCGAATTCAGGCCAGTTGGTGTGGGTGTAAATGGGGGTAATTCGTTGGCTCATATTTCCGAGTCACCTTTTTCTAATACCGTGCCACGTAGGCGGGTGCACTTCAGCAAGACGGAGGCAACAAATCCGCACAAATTGCACTCGCAGCGGGAGTGGAAAATGGGAAAGCGGCAGAAAGGAGTGAGGAGTGTGGAGTGAGCCGCTGTCATGCGACATTATTGATTTAAATGCCATAAACACCCAAAAGTAGAACACAGACACACACAGCCACACACACGCACACACATCGAAGCACAGCAAGTGGCACATCCGAAAGATACTTTGAATGTTTTTCAAGATAGCCGCCAGCGGAAGCTAAAAAGCCAAGCAAAAACAAACACGCCGTAAAGGTGTATGTTCGCTCGTATGTGTTGCATGGCCGGGTGTGCTAACATATTAATGTCTGTGTGTGGGTAATATGCCGCACACGTAGACAACTATTAACTAAAAGAGACACAGGCAGACGGACGCACTAAAGCATACATTTAGGCGCTGATGGCCGGATGTGTCGTGTGATGTGGCACGGTGACATTTGTTTGCAGTTGGAGCTGGGGGCCATCCCGACCCAAATGACTACCCGGCCTGCTAAGAAATTTGTAACAGATGCGGGCCAGCTCACAATTGACTTCACAGGGACCGCAAGTAATTGGAAAAAAAAATAACAACTGCCGGCTGCTGCTGATATTTTCTTTCGAATTTTTGCTTTTGTCGCCAGCACTGAAAGCGAAAAAGCGCGCGATCCGCCCGCCCTTTTTTTTTTGGGGGGGAGGGCTCGTAATTGCGGGCCCAGATAAGCGCTTTATTACCGATTCACTGGCTTTTATCGCATTTTAATAACTCACGGAAAATGCGCCAAACGAGCCGCCCCCACCAAAACAAAGTGTTTACGTTACGTTACGTTATTTGGCGAATCAAACCGAACCGAACCGAACCGACGTTACTCGATGTTTTAAAGCGGCCAAAAGGCAATATCGCGTTAGCTTCCAACTTTCGCGACCGCCAGCCAAAGCACAACTGACTGTAATGCCGCTGGAAAAGCAGAACTGAACGCTACGACGACTGCCGCTGCTTTGAATTCGAAAACGAAGTTCGTCGGGCGGCGGCAAAAGAAAAGCCGACAGCTGGAAAAGCCCGAGGAAAAGCCGAACAAAGCGTCAGACGAGCCACTGCAACTACTGTGGGTGGTGGGCGGTGGGTGGATGAGTGGGTCGAATGGGGTGGGTTGGGGTGGTTTTTGGCCCAAAATGTGGGTGGCCTTGCTCACTTGCATTGCCAAATTGCCGAAGACGCCGCACGGAAGTGCGTGCGTTGCTGCAGTTCAGCTCGGGTATTTTCCCAATGAAAGACTGAGGACTAAATTCGCATATGAGCATTAGGCATGCATGGATGCGAGTGGAGGGGCACTGCATGTCCCTGGCTCATTATTATGCTAATAGAATGGATTAATAATGCCGAAACGCTATGCGAATATGTTATAATTCAAAGGAAGAGGCATTCATTAAATTGCAGTATTTTGAATCAAAAAATTCAATTAGAATGCGTTACTTGGCAAGCTTAAGGGATATTCTGCACATTATTAAAGCGTAGATAAAAGGCAAAAGGCTATAAGTATGTTTTTCACCTCTAGCAGCGGATACTTTAAACTGGAGAAACTTAGAAACCATTTGGAAAACACATTTAATGCAACAAAATTATGGGTCACGAATAAATTATTTCTTATAGCGACAGAAATATATTAACACATGATGTGTCATTTTACAGGAAATCCAACCATCTGGTAATCCATGATTTGTGGTATTTCTTCCGTGCCTTTTGGCTCCTTGATATCTCCTTGATATGCTGTAGGCGTTCTAAGTCCCACTGTGTCCGACCCAGCCTGTCATTCTGTCGCGCAAATTAGCCGCCACCCACTCCTCCCACTCCACCCACCGGCGGGTTAAGCTGTCTGTTTTTTTGTTTGTGTTTTTTTGCGAAATGAAACTGTGTGGGCTGCTTAGCTAGTTTCAGCTTAGCCGGCTGCCTGTGTGCGTGTGCATCAAATCATTGCCGACTTTTGTGCGCAAATATTTACGACAAACTGGCATCTGCTCATCCCCCAGCGCCTGCTTATGCACAGAGAAAATTAAGCTAAAGGTAATGTTCATTATACATCTTCCATGCCTACTCCTACATCATATTGTGTACTGCTAAAACACGCATTATGTTTAAACAGCTGTCAAAACGTGAATCATGCACTGCAGTTACGATCAACTAGAGTTAAAAACGCCATTCGAAAGTTTTGAATATGCCTGGAGTATTACGTCATATTAAGTACAAACATATTCATTTGTTCATATTTATTTAAGTTGACAATAGTAAGTCTGTACATAGTATTTGGCGTACGTGTCGTATGAGTGATTTGGCAGATAAGTAACTGAGTTACGTGTGGAATGATGTAGTTGAAGTATTTCCATACATCGTTGGAGATTAAATGCATTTATCAATGATAGTACAATTTCTTTCAGTATGGTGACCCATTCCCGGGGTAAAATGACACCGAAAAGAAACAAAAGCATGCGTCTAACATCTAACGACGACAACAACCTGTCACGCCAGCTGAGGTACGACTGGGGGATTCGTTGGGTTCACGGTTCGGTTTGGCAATGGGTACGGAAACGGGCATGGGCACCGAAGGCATAGCAATGGATCCCCTAACAAGGCATCCTGCAGAGAATGAAGGATGGAGGGTGGGGAAGTGCGACAACAATGCGTCGGGGGGTCAGCAACAGAAGCCAGTAACCTGTGGAGATTCAAAAGCCGGAGCAGGAGCAGCAGTAGCAGCAGCAGCAGCAGAAGCAGCTGCGGATATGGGAGCCGGAGCAGGAGCTGCTCCACATGAGCTGACACTGGCAGTCAAACAGAGGCCCAGGGAACCCCGCTCGTAATGGCCTCTAAACAATGGGCGTGCTTGTTTGGCAACAGCCAAACAGCCCGTTCGCCATTGCCTGTGCTCCAATGCCATGTGTACATTTGTCTTTTTGCAAATTAATTTATAAACACAATTGACATTGAGCCGGAATGTAAATATGCCGCTGAGAATGGTTGTTGCCTTGCATTAAAAATTCAAGTCCCACTCTGTCACATCTGCATGCTCACCACATGTGTGCGTGAGCCTTTGCCTGTGTGGGTGTGTGCGGGTGTGTGTGTGTGCGTGACTCTGCCCCGTATGCGAGTGTCTAGCTAGAGGGTGTGTGTGTGTGTCTGCCTCGTTGTTTGTCTTTTGCCATGGCCTGGCATTTATATTTCCCTTCAGGAAGCAGCAACAAAAGTTGCGAAATGCCAAGCTGACGTTGCACTTAAGGAAATGGGCTAACACAAATATTGCTGAAATAGAGGACATGCGGTGGGTGGCGTCGCCTAGGGAAATTCCAATATTAGTTATGACCTTCAAGTGGGGCGCTCTTCAAATAAATAATTTAATCAATTACTAATTGAGCCCTGGCACCCATCATGATGCATATTTTCTAGATAAAATTCCTCGTCAAAGTTGGGACTACTCCTCTGAGTAGGGACCGTTTGATGCTGAAGTACACAACGCCAAAAGCTCCCAACTCTTTTGCAAGGGCACTATGGAGGAATGTGAATAAGTGATTTTTCTCTGTGCACTTGGGAAAGAAAAAGGACAAAATTGAAATTCCATTCTCCATAACTTTGCTAAACGGCTATTAACTTTCCAACGTATCTGCTGGACCATAATTCCTCTATAAATCGAGTCCTAGTCATTCGTATGTTTGCAGCACCCAAAACAAAAAAATGGTTGAAAACGGTTGAGGTGGAGACAAGCCAAGCCCTTTCAGCTGAAGACCAACAACAACAAGTTGTCGTTGACTTAAAAACTGATTTGCAATTTTATAAAGAGCTTGGCTTTCACACAAAGGTGGGGTATTTCGTTGCTACCGAGGTACAATGTATATATGCAACGAGAGGCGAAAGCAGCAGCAGAAACAAAAGCTAAACAAAACTTTTGTTCGTCCTCATCGGCCGGCAGAAAACTGCTGACTGACTTGGCTGAAATTTGTCGACCAGGCCTAAGCCACAGTGTCTCCCTTCATCTGGTGACCTTTTTTGGCTGGCAAAAATTGTAAAACTCATTTACATAACAATTACCGCTTGACACGGCGATGTTCCCCCACTTTTTCTGCCCCTTCCCACCATTTGGGCCAAACCAAACTTCACATTGGGTAATACTTTGAAGTCTGGCCCGAACTATACATACACATATCTATTGTTTGTTGTTGCTCTAATGTTGTGGCTCACATGTTGTCCCTTTCCGTTTGTCTTTCCATCGCACTCCCCCGCTGGTGGCGCCACCTGCCGGCACTTGCGGGACTGACATTTTATTTAGATTGCTTTGCATTTTCAACTTTTCTCTGTTTTCCAACCGCCAACTGCGTGCAATTGTCGTTACAGAGAAAGAAAATATGACATTTCCCAATTTTCCCATTTAAATACCCCACATATTTTATTTACGATTTTTTTTAGCTGAACCATGCTGAAACCTAAGCCTACATACCAAATTAAGATACAAGTATTAATGACATTTTATTGAATGTCGTAAATGTTCGTATTTCTTGAGGTTATTACGTAAATTAATCGTTTTACTTTCATTTTTTTCCTGTACTGCACTGTGAACTTCCACCAACTGGAAAACTCGCTGGCTTTAAGTCACCCCTCACTTCACTTTCATTATGTGTCAGTTGCATTGTCTTGACTTTTCGCATATATTTCCCCGAGTTTTGCAGCCCCAGTGGATTTTTATGTTCGTGTTGCGGTTCCGCCCCGGTTATGTGACACAGGGAGCTGAACTGTTTGGCTTTAGACACTGATTAGCCGAAGCACTTACAATTTCATCCAAAGTGTTCGTCGGCTCCTTCATACCATGACGTTAGAGATTCATCCAATCTGCCGGCGAGAGAAAGCAAACAAAGGAAAAGTCAGAATCGGCAAACAGACAAACAAATAATCATTAAATATCAGATGTACAAAGGGGGCGGCAAACGTTTTCAGGTGCGTCAATATACAAATGTCTGCCCCCAAGAGGGAGGCACAACTTCTGTGCGAGTGTGTGACTTTGGCAAATATATTTAAGCAAAGCCAGATAAGCACAAAATGTGAACTCGTGTTATTTAAAATTAAGCCAAACGTTATGAAGCACCACAGTACGCATCTGCACCTATGGAAATACTTTGGTCATTTTTGGTCCAATACGAAATTGTTCGATTTGGTCTTGACTTCAAATTACTTAAAAAACTTAATGCTAGTTTCATTTTCGAATACTTCTTATTTCACACCACCCAAATTCTAGGTAAACAATCATATGCCATTGTTGGAAAGGGTACTAAATGATTCGACACTATAAATATTTGTCTTTGAGAGGAGGCAAAATCGGGAGGTTTGCAGGTTTGTGTTTGCCAACAATGGAAACTCACAGTGACTGCCTCACACACTTCTAAAAGTACGTATGTGTATACAAAAGGCAGCCTTATCAAGTTCGAGCATTTTGCCGTAGAAATATTAAAAAAAAACAAGAGGAAACACTATAGTTGAATTTCTCGACTATCAGATACCGGTTACTCAGCTTTAGAAGTGCTTAGAAGATATTTTAAAATTCAGATAGAAAAAGGCAAGAAAACAGTAAAATCTGGTATTCCGGACACACGATCGCTCCTACCTGTTACATACTTTTCAACGAATCTAGAATACCCTTCAACTGTACAATTAACGGGAGTACAAATTTGCCTGTTCTTCACGCAACATATATGGATGGAGTGATTCAGATAGGGCAGGACAAGATGAATCTTGGCATTGGGTTCGTCCTTTCAACGCACCCATCTCTCAGCCAAGGCAAATTCACTCTTTTTATGCGACTTATTTAGTTCAACAATGGAGTAAAAGGCGAAGGGCACGAGCTCAGAAAAGAAAAAGTTCATTCTTATTAAAATCATGATATACACAGCGGGAACTCGCAGTCATTTGCATTTTCCAACCACTCTCATGGTTCGGAATAGACTTTTTCGGTGCTTCTGT